GAGCAGAGAAGCGAGAGGAAATGAAGCAAAACAACTAGGATAACTGACTTCAATTTACTCATATTGCAATTTATAATAACTGGCCACAGTCCAATACAACTGACCTGAGACATCTAACCATATGTTCAACCAAACAATCAGCCTAAAGTCCGGCCTAGAAACTCACTATTTTGGTCTAGTCAAACAGGTCAGAAATGAGTCAACATGAGGAAAAAATAAATGTGACAATTCATAGTGATACTATATATCAGTGGTCCCCAACCTTTTTATCACTGCGGACCGGTCAATGCTTGACAATTTTACCGCGGCTGTCACTGCAGAAAAACCCGCTTCACACAGATAGGATGTCGGAAATGGCAACAGGGTTTTCAGTGCTGTGGTGGCGATCTCAGGGTATTCTGTCATGACTTTAATCCAGAACACCGACAGAGTTGTTGTCTCGAACATACTTTTAAGGCCGCCGTCATTTGCGATCTCCAGCAGTTGATCTTCTTGTTGCACAGACCTGCTGGATTCACCTGGTTTGTTGACAAATGGGTTGCGGATCCATTCCTTGGCAGTTCGTGGGTCCTTTGTGGTTGGGAAGTAGCGCTCGAACTCTTTTAAAAGCAAAGACAGGTGATCGTGCACCAGCTGGGAGAATGAAGGCTCAGGCTCAGTCTCACCCAAAATCCCCGCTAATGTTTGAAACATGTCCAAAATGCCTCTGTTGCCGCGCCGTCCCCACAAATCCAGTTTGGCTTTAAATGCAGCTACATATGCCAACTTTAAGACAGTTGTCATTTTCCCCTGAAGTGACAGATTGAGTTCATTGAGCAGGCTGAATATATCCACAAGTAAGCCAGGTTTGGCGCTCAAGTGACCGAGATGTAACCGAGAGAATGCGGTCATTTTTCAAAATAAAAGATCGTTCATACTCAGATAATAAATAAAACGGAAATAATTAATAATTTCTTCTGCGGCCCGGTACCACTTGATCCACGGACCGGTACCGGTCCGCGGCCCGGGGGTTGGGGACCACTGCTATATATTGTAGTTTATAATGCCCAGCTGTAAAAAGACAAAGTAATAAAGAGAGTGAGGACACTGTGTATCAGTTGCACTCATAATATAGTTCAACAATAATACACAACCTTGATTTCCACAGCAACTGTACACAACACTATAGACATTCAATAAAGCCTGTGGATGTATTCAGACACTTAAGCTATACATTATAGTCACACATCATAAAAGTACCTTCATATCAAAAACTATATGATTCTTTCTCTTCTCAGTGTGCTCACCTGGGTAAACCCAGCCACATCACCCATGAGGGGGACCAGTTGGCATCAAAGTCACTGTCGTGAGTGTGAGGCAACAGCTCATCATGCTCATGTTCTTCCACCATGCTGACCTCCAGCACCCGCAGCTGGACTGAGGACGAAGCAGCACTGGCCTTCAGAGTACCCACAGCTTCACTGTGGCTCAGGTAAGTCAGGTCCTGTCCGTTGATACTCAGCAGGACATCACCTGAAGATGGATGCAAGAAGATTCTCTAGCTTGTCATGTAATATCTTTGGCTTGACTGAACTGGCACTGGTAGCGCTCACCTCGTTTGATTCGTCCATCCCTCGACAAGCAGCCATGTGGTTGGACGCTGGTCACAAAGATTGGCAGCTCTCCACTCTTACTACCCCTCCCTCCTGCAACAGTCATGCCCAGAGACTCAAGGGGTTCCTTCTTCACGGTTATGTGTTTCTCTTTACAGGTCACACACTGGGAAAGGTCCTGGGAATATTCACACAGAGGCAACAAACACGCAAGCACTGGTTCAATCTCTGCAATGCAAAAGAAATGTCCATTTGCAGTAAAATATCCACTTATTCTTTGTGCTTGACTCTTAAAGTCTAAACAATTTTCAGAAATAACAAACTGGTTTTCACCCAAATTTTAACTTCACACATATCCAAGTTTTTAGTTTTACTGCTGCTGAAACAGCTCAGAACATTTCTCCACTGGTAAAACAAACAAACAATAATATATAAAAGAGAAAAATACAGGGAAAACAGAGAATCCCTCAAACTAAGGAATAAACAATAAGCAATCACTTGTTAATAAACATAAACACCAATATGTAAAAACTTAATTTTAAATAAAAATGAAAGTGAGTTAAATGATCTGGCATCAGCATTTTCATTCTTATTATAAAAATGTGGATACACATATTGGAAATGTTAAAATTAAAATTGCAAAAATGAACCTACACACACAATCTAACACAGACTTAGACAAACACAGACACAAATGATCTCACTCTGTGGGTGCTGGTGCGGGACAGGTGTATAGGCACAGGACTCGGGGTAGAGCTGTGGTTAGGCAGGAAGTGATCAAGGCAGTAGAGGTCTCTGGTGGAGCTTGATTTTGGCGGAGGGGGGTGAGCTGGTTTGCTGGGTTGGCCAATCAGCAGGTGGACTCGTTCTCCACTAGCCTAGAAAGTCAGAGTTGGTGTTTTTGAATCAAATCATGAGCCATTTGTTTTGCTGATTTCCTCTCTCAAATTCCAGTAAATGAACCTGTATGATCTGTGCAGCCTGCTCTGGGGTGCCGTGACGTAGATCCTGGTCGTTGACTGCCAGTACACGGTCGTTACTCCGCAATCTGCCATCCTTCGCTGCAAGGCCTCCTTCCAACAGATCCAACACAAACACTCCTGACTCATCTGTTCGCCGTACCAGTTTGATGCCAAGCTGCTCTGTTGAGTCCCGCTTGTGTAGGGTGATTCTTAGTGTGGCTGGGCTGGACGGGGTGGCCTCAGGGGTGGAGCAGGGGGCATGGGGCACAGCTGGGGTGGAGGAGGAGGGAGGCGCCCTGGAGGCACAACGACGCTCCCTCAGCACTGTCAGCTGTAAGGTGGTGCATGGGCGTGCTAATGTAGAGCGGGCAAAACTGTGGGGGACGTTACTGATGTCCACATTGTTCACCTTAGCAGATAGAGAGAAGTCAAAGGAAATTTTGGGAAATTAAACCTGAATTTTACAGATTTTTGGACACTTGGTGGGGGACAAACTATTGCCTTGTAAGAACTGCCTATTTATACATCCAGCAGACACAGACCAACATTAGCATTCATTTGCCTGGTCACTTAACAAACCATGAAAAACCAAATGACCTACCTGTAGTATCTGATCTCCAGCCAGCAGCCTCCCATCTCGTGCAATGACCCCATCTCTGTACACTTCCTGAATCACAATGTTGATGAGCGGTGTCTCGTTCCCCCCAACAATGCTGATGCCTAGCTCAACATATGGGTTGGCTCGATGAACCTCTATGGCAGTAATTTCTCCTTCAGGAAGGGAGGGCAACTTCACACAACCTAATGGTCACACAAATTGGAAGCATTTCAGAAGTTAATTTACATATTGTCCAAACCCTTAGCATTTTGTTTCCAGAATATCTCCTGTTGTCTAAAATCACAGCTCTTGCAATCACAAGGAAGATCATCTCATATCTCTAGTATTCGGCCCTTTGAGGACATGCTTGGAGGATGTGATGTCATACCCTCTTCAGCAGAGAGAGGTGGGGACTCGGGGCAGTCCCAGCCAGAGGAGGTGGAGCTCAAAGAGCGTAGGAGGTGGATGCAGGGATTACTCAGGGGCCGCTTCACCCTGGGGACCACGCACTCCAACCCTACCACACCTAAAGAGAGAAGGATGTGAAGAGATAAATCACATTGCTATTGGGTCTTAACAACTTTACCTCTTTATGTAGGACAACACCAGTGGACAGACTCACTGTCTTCCTCTGTGCTCTCTTCAAAGGCAGGGTTGTCAAGACCAGCATCATCTGTCCACACAGGCCCATTGCTGCTGGCATTATTAGGTCCAGAGGGTGAAGAGGGAGTATGGTCCTGCAGGTCTGTCTGTGAGGAGTGGGGTGACCTGGTAGGGCTGGTCACCATCGCTCGCTTGGCCCCAGTCTCGCATCTCGGACCATCCACGCTCGTCTGCTCACACCGCGTCCCGGGACACCTTTCACCAAGCAATAGGCTTGTTAGTCCATCTGATATGTAAAGAAAATCAGGTTTAGCATCAGTTAATTTAATGGACTATGAGGGAATTTTGCTTTTAGCTCGTCCCCTCCTCAAGGACAATGCAGGATCATGTGTAACTGGGAGGGAAAGTGGAAGGTCCAAACTGAATTATGATACAGGCACTGATCTGTCACTGATTAGAAAGAAAATACCAGAGAACATTGCTGCATATCAGATTTTTAACAGCTCTTTTATTTAGGGTAGATACTTTGATAAATTGCCATTTTTGCACATCAACATACACTCAATAACAAACAGTGCTTTGATTCAGAAACAGTTCTCACACATACACACCATCAGCTCACCTTAACCAATGCTGAAAACCAAAGTGTGGCGCTCTCATCCATTAATCTAATGTCCCATTCCTAATCTTTACCATAAATGATGCTGACTGACAAAGTCACCCAACGACAGCAGACTCTTGGCTGCTATTACTATCTTAGATGTAAAACTGCATGGCAGGGGAGTGACGAGCGCATGTGGGCCAGAGGTTTAGTTTTTACTAAAGAATGCTGCATTGGTCCTCACTGTGACCTTGTGTGAGCTGTCTTTAACCGTCCTTTGTTGTCTAATGGACATGAGATGATGTGGGCAACCTTTATTGAGATGTATACCTCTGCTGATAGGATTTATTAAAAGGTCTGGACAAGTAGACTGTTGACAATAAAGTATAAATAGACTTCACCAATGAGAAAGAGTTACTGGAGAACTCATGTATTTTTCTTATTTTTTTTGGCTACAATTAAATCATGACTATGTGTCTTTTGAAGATGAAATAGCAGATTTTTTTTCTCACATATGAAAACATACATTTTTAGGAATTGAAATCTGTAATAACTTTAACGCACTCAGTGGTTTTGCTGCCACAGTCTCATTTGTTCTGGTATGACTGCTAGCTTATTGCACTTGCTTATGTTAGCAAATTTTAGACAAATATTGCTGTGTAACTGAGTGAGTTTACTGACTTTATTATCTATACTTATGCTACACTAGGCAGCACAGTGATTCAATGGTTAGCGCTGTCACCTCACAGCAAGAAGGCTCCGGGTTTGAGCCCAGGTCAATCCGGGGCCTTTCTGTGAGGAGTTTGCATGTTCTCCCTGTGCATGCGTGGTTACTCCGGCTTCCTCCCACAGTCCAAAGACATGCAGGTTAACTGACTGGTGACTCTAAAGTGCCTGTGAGTGTGGTTGTCTGTCTCTGAGAGTCAGCCCTGTGATAGACCTGTCCTGTATCCCACCTCTCACCCAGTGTCAGCTGAGATTGGCTCCAGCTCCCCACAGACCCTATTCAGGAATAAGCGGTATAGATAATGAATGGATGTGCTACACTGCATTTGCCCTTCACCACTGTCCTGTAACTGTCACCTGTTGCAACAGTCCTTCTAGCTTTAAACACATAAAACAGATGGTCTATAATGGGCGTCCTTAAGAACAGGTGACTCAGAAAAGCTTTTAATAGCTTGTAAGGATGAACTTGTTAAGGAAAATCTCCAACTTAAATAAGGTGTTAGATGGACACTGGATAACCAGTGAATAAGAATCAAAATGTCCAGCTTAAATTCTATAGGATGTCTGCTCCTATAGTAATAAAACAAATTTTAATGGTTAAATATATAGTATATTTTTATCTAGAAAAAAAAAAAATCTCTGTATAGCTCAAAATAATGCAGCATTTATTCTGATAACCCATCACACTACTTCCATGTAACCACTAGCAAGAGAAACCTTTTACAGTTTCCTCCATGGCATGTTTTACAAATTTCAGTGCCAAAGAGAGAGAGAGAGAGAGACAGACAGAGAAAGGGAGAGCAAGAGTGAAAGTAAATTGAAATGTAAGATATAAGAAATCAATGAGAGACAGCTGCTATCTCAATTCACACAAACTACACATCCCACTGTGTTTGACTCACCATAGGCCAGGGTTGCCTTTCGCTGTCTCACAGAAAAAATGGTTGAAAAGATCTCTGGTGTTGAAATTGCTCAGCATGACTGCAGAATGAAAACATGGAGCTCCTGATCAGCCAACCCATGACTGTGGCAGGGAATCACTAATCCCCCTTGTCACATGATCTACAGCCCATTAAATCCCTTCAGGGTCTCACAGTACCTGGTCCAAATGGGGCAAAAGCCACAATGTGTGGCTGGGGGAAACATTTAAATTTAAGGACGGTTGGGAATGTTTAAGTGATCTGGACTCAGATTTATCATATGTCCTGCCAGAAACAAACCTAAGTATGGTTAGTATGAGTTTTTAAAGTTATGCAAAGGTAAACTGGGTTGCAACTAAGGTATTTTGATGACTGATTAATCTGTAAATTAGTTTCTTCATTAATTGATTAATGGTGCGGTCTATACAATGTCAAAAAAATGCAGAAAGGTTATTGCTACAATTTCCCCAAATGCAGACAAGGAGGCAGGCAAGACTAGCAGAAACATTCAGTTTAATTAAACAAATAATAAACTTAGAGTCCAGTCCAACAATAACAATCAGGGAAAACTAGATGAGAACTGAAGAGTCAGAGTGATCTTAGGTGGATGCCAGGCAGCTGAGGCATAGAGAAACCAGAGACCTCAGGCAGATGGTAGGAAGACTGCAGAACATCGGAACTGGAGACCTTAGGCAAACAACCAGGAGACTATGGAATATAAGGGCAGGGGACCTCGAGTGGACAGCCCAGAGACTAGAGCCAACGAGCAGCAAAGGTCACAGGACCAGAGAGGAGGGGATGGGCAGTAGGTTGATGGTGAAGGCAAAACCCTTCTTAAGTATGAAGAGGAGGCCAATGATGAAGATGGAACCCCTCTGGAAGGTGGGCAGGAGGAAGGTGTCAGAAACAGAACCCCAATGGAGTCCAGGGAGGAGGTCGATATCCAAGGCAGATCTGGAGACTGGTGCCTAAAGGATATTGTAGCTGGATGGTGACCTGGAGCCCGATGTGCAGCGGCCAGACAGTAGGGGTCCAATGTAGGAAACCTTTGGAAAGGTGCAGGATGCAGGACAGATAAATGGCAGCTGAGCTTGGCTGATAGACTTTCTCTGAAGTTGGAGGAGATGTCGACCTAGAAAGTCAACTCAGGAACCCACTCCAAAGCTCTGGAGGCTTTGACCAGGGATGTCAACTCAAGAATGGACAGAATCTCAGTTATGTGCAAGCCGCTCTGGGGTGCTGGTGACCAGATGCCTGTGAAGCTGAGAGGCTGTGGCTTGGGGAGCAGGCCACAGACTTAGTCCAAGGCAAGTCGAGTCCAAACATAATTGAAATCCAAACAAACAGCTCAATCAAGGAAAAAAAGTAAAGGCAGGTGACGAGAATGCTGAGGCGGAGAAGCACAAAGGCTAGGATAAGCAAACAAACAATCTGGCAAAGAAACAGAGTAGTATAAACACTATGGAAGCTAAGCAAGAAGTGCAGACAGGTGTGGTGGGTGTGGGAGTCAGGCCCAGGCAACCATGAAATGGGAGGCAGGTGTGCAGGGCAGAATCAGAGAGAAAATCCACAGAAACGTTCAGAAGGTAACAGGAACTGGGACACCTGGAGTCCAAAGTTTTGTCTGACAACTTTTCAAAACCCCAAAGTACTAAGTTTACAAAAGGACAAAGCAACCCAGCACAAGTTTACTCCTGCAAAGCTAGAAACAGCAAAGTTATGGCATTTTGCTTAAAAGATTATTTTAATGATTTACATACAGTACTTGTAACCATGTGGTGTTTTTGCTAATCATCTGATTGACACCAACACAAGTAGAGGAGGTAATGTAGCTTACATTACCTCTATAAATCTTAGGAGAACCTGCCTAGTTTGATCTATATTGTATGTACACAGCATCGTCTGTTGTGATCGTATATAAGCTTTATTACCTATGTTTCAGGTGTGCCTCCAGGTCACACCGTGGCATGCTGAGGGAGCAGACAGGGGTCAAAGGGCAGGACACAGACAGCTTGTCCAGCAGCTTGTGAACCAGTATGCTGGATCTGCGGCACGCTTGCAGCTGCAGCCGTGTCCTGTCCAGCGGGCAGAAGTCCCTGTCCTGGAGGAAACTACGCAGGCAATGTGCGCAGAAGGTGTGTCCACATGGCGTGTCGAGTGGCTGCACCAGTGGCTGCAAGCAGATGTGGCACACCAAGTCGTCATCCACTTCCAGACGGTAGTTGTAAAGGTGGTTTTCCCAGCTGCGGTGGATCTGGCCACACTCAGGACATAGGGTGTCCAGTGCTGGCTCCACTGGCCCAGCTAGACTCACCTCACAGCCTGGGCTGCCCATCTCTGTTCCTTCAACACAACGCAGCTTTGGCACAAATAACTCCTGTGGTGCTGCAGTGTTGGGAAAGGGCACACACACACCCTTGTCTATCCCATAAGCTTCAGAGGACGAACAAGCTGTAGAGAGGACAGATGCCCCCCAGTGGCTGATGGCACATCACCCTGCAGGTCAGAGGGAAAAGCAAGAGGGTTAAACAGCTGTTTCAGGAAAATAGCAAATGTCTGATTATGTGCTTGAGCATTTGTTCATGTCACAAATGCTTTGTGCATGTGAGTCTGCATGTCTGCATGAGAGTGGTGCTGTGTGTGTGTATCAGTGAGTGCACTCAGATTATGTATTGCTACTCCTGTCCACTAATCTAGCAGTATAATCTCTCGTTTGCTCTCGCCTGCTACAATCTTCTGATTCCACAGAGAGGGAATTATCTGGGATTGAGGCAGAGGGAGGATCCAGATCAGAGGAATTGAGATTGGGAAATGAACACAGAGGAAATGTAGTGCCAGCAAGAGGTAGAAAGGAGCAGACACACAGTGAGGAAGAAAAGAAAGAGATGGGAAAAGGGGTGGAAGAAATTAATGGGATGGAAGAGGAACAAAACGATATAAAAAGAGGCAGGAGAAACAATGGAAGACAGTAGAAAGCCCACAAAAAAAGATGAAAACAAAAAGATGAGAAAAATGTAGAAATTCTTTAAATATTCCCCACAGCAAACATGATATTTTTGATTTGGGCAGTGTACTGTACAGTAGATTCACTCAGTGTCCTCTGTAACAGAAAGAGAACATGCCTGAAGCAGAGTCTTGAAATATAGCACGGCACTGAGCAGTGTGTCCCCAGAGCTAATGCACTATGTATGTGCTGAAGATTTCCACAGTGTTTTACATCCAAAGCCATTCAGACCTTCAGCCACTCTATTAGCCAAGGCCCTGTGAGCCTGACACCATCAGCAGACAGCAGAGGGCGTGCCTCAGCACACACACAGCATGCCGGCCAAGTCACAGTAACTACCTGCCTCTGTTCCAGCAAGAGGGTGCTCCTGTCTCCATGACGACCTGGAGCCTGTTCTGCTCGGTGGGGCTTGACATTCAGAGTGTAGCTGGAGAAGGATGCAGAGGAGCCACACAACAGATGCACTCCTCTCAGCAGGATGCTCTGCTCCTCCCCGCTACAGCCTGAAAGCTTGTCAGACAGCGCAGACAGTGATAAGGAGCCCTCCTTTTTTTGCTGCTTTTTTTTGTCTTCCGTTGCCACCCATTTCTGTGGCAACCTGTCTCCTGTCTCCTTGGCTACTGGACCGGTAGTTACTTATTTCTGCCTCCTTTAAGTACACGCTCCTGTCTGTGTGTGACTGGCTGCTTCTGTCTCTATCCCGCAGCTGGACATGAATTAATCATAAGGACACAAGGCTTCTCTGTTCCAATAACAAAGCTGTGACATCACCACATCACACGCAAACACACACACAAACAGACTTGCATGCAAGCATAAGACTACATGGGCAAGAGCAAACACACATATATAGAAGCCTACATCGTACACCAGAGCTTTTTAGGTGACAGATCCTGTGACTAGTCTATCAACAAGTAAAGCAGCAGGCTCTCACTAGACATAGAAAGCACTTAAATCTGTTTTAACCAGCTGCACAGATTTCTTCACACAAATCATATGAAGACTGGGAGAGTCCAAGATTTCTATATTAATAAGTTTAGGCACTGCACCTATTCTCATTTTTAATTTTCGTGAGAGGACAATCTAACATTACAACACAGGACCAGCCACTGACTACTATGGACAAATGTAGGAATGACATTTTCAAATAAAATGAGATTATGTTTTAGGCCACAGGTCCTCAGGGCTTAGACTACAATTTTTATAAAACCCCATCTTTTTGCCTCTTGACTTAAAAATGCATAAAGGCTATTGGAAGAACAGGCCAGCTGCTGCTCTGCAAGGGCTGTTGCAATAGATTGCTTTTCTCCAAAACAGTCAGACAGACATGCCATGATAACAAAAATGGCACCGATTTAATTGAAAAATTCAATGAAAATAACTATTTTATCACTGTCACTGTTCCACCTGCAGTGTCATGATCTAACAACCAGAAGGCGTTCAATACATTTGATTAGACAGGACCATTTTTAATCATTGCCCCCATTTGCCTGACTCCATCCTCCCCTCCACAGGCGGAGAAGCTAGGACAGATGAAGCGACAATGGCAATATCAACGCAAAAGGCAGCTACACCGCTCATGCAGAAAGTGAATATCTTATGTATGCAGATGTAATGTTACCTATTCTCGCTTCTCCTCAATACAGTGCGTTCCGACCCCATTAAGAGGGACGATCATAAGGTGCGGGACCTCAATCACGCATTCATCGCCAAGGACCGTTCCACAAACCCGCATGAAAACACCCCCGTGCTTTTGTCGGAGGAGGGTCCGCCCATTGCTGTTTGTCATTGGAGATGGGTGGGGCCTGAGGCTGTCAATTCGGAGCAGAGTCAGGGGTGGCTTACAGACAGCCTGATCAAAATAATACGGCCCCTTTGGAACTTGGTCACCTCTTATAACCAGAATCAGAATGGCCAGGTATGCTGAACAGACAAGGAATATGACTCCCACACAGTGGTTCTAAATGTGTTTTTGTAGGACAACAAGAAAAATATGTGCATTCAAATAAGGAGCAAAAAGAAAAACAAGAGACAAAACAACCTATTTATAAATATATATAAATACTGTATGTATAGTATCTGAAACTTTAATTTAAAAAAGGGAGAATCCTTGAACAACTGACTATTTGCTTTGGCTAAAATGTTACCAGTGTTTTCAGTTTTTTTTATTTCTATTTACATATGAGTCTTTGTTTATTAAATTATTACAATTGTTTTTATTCTTTTGTTTTTGGATACATGTAATGTCATGCAGCATGTTTAAATCATTTATACCTATTTGTTTTTGCTGCTCAGTAGTTTAAATTGTTTCATGATGAATAGCTTAAACAAACAATAACTAAAAGGTTGCAGAACTAGCCCGCTGTCAGCTTTTCATCTGGCAGTTCATTATATCAGTAAAATCACATCAATTACATAAGCAAAAAGACCAAATTAAGGTAATTTTATTTTGTCAGCTAAGAGTGTCTTCACAAATCCCAAAGACTGCAAGTTATTATGGGTGAGTACATTTTATACAACCATACATTTTGCCTCCCTTTATAAGAGCTGGAATCTACTTCAGTTCCTGCTACTTTTTTAAAAGGTGGCTATAATGTCTTTATTAATGCTGAATTCCATTAAGAAGGATAATGCGTGTAGCCTATTGCAAGAATCTGACAAATTTCTCTTGTTGGTGAATCATTAATAGTAAAGCCCATAAATGACAATGTGTTTGTGAACCCTAACTTTCATTAGGTCTACTAATACAAATGTTTATATATCATTAAATAAAAGGGCAATCTTGCACATAAACATTTTAACAAATGTCTTATTAGTGCATTTATAGACACAATTAAGTATTTTAAGCGTTTTAGCTTATTTTGATCCATGATTTGCACGGAACGTGTCATTGTTTTACCAATTGACTGTTGTATGTGATCAAACAGTCAGGCATCGCTAAGGCCAGCAAAATAATCACGGGGTCCACGGAAGAAGGACATCGCAGAAAGTAAACAAAAATCTGAGCTGCAGTCATCGACTTTAGTTGAATTTATTCATAAGATGTGATGGATTGCGACGCGATGGCAGAGGGAGATGAACTGGAAAAGTAGGACATTATTTAGCTGTTTATTCCCAGTTAACTGAAAAAGCCACAGTTTACTACACGCGTAGCTAGTTTTCCTCGAAAACCGTAACACCTCTCCATTAGACAGTGTAACTTAGCTAGACAGTTTGACGATTGACTTTCAGATATTTGGCGACTATAACCCTCAATAACTTTTGAGTTAGGTCATCAGTCGCCAGCAGTGTTTTTCATTACTGATGTTGCACAGATAATATGTTTACCTCACGATACAGAGATAAATGAGGAGTCCAAGTGACGTTCTCTGAAGCGCATGCAGCGAGGGAAACGGGGATTATCATATTTTCTCTCCACGCGTTTCTTTACGTTGTTTTAGTCCACCCATTGCATGCACATTTCCTACTTTTAGACACAAATTATGTGGTGTTGTTATAAAGTGTTACGGTTGTTTTTCAATAAGTTTCTCATACTGTGTTTCAAAGTGTTTGTCTTCTCAACAGGACCTACTCCCACTGCATGCACATCTTAGAGTTCTCTTTTTAATTAACATCTCGCGATATGGCCCAATGAGTGGTTACAGCCAGTTTTTCTACCAATAGCTGTCCATCAGATGTTTAATAAAAATATATTATAGGTTCAGTATCAGCACAGTCAAATGTACATTTATTAAATAATGCAGATATTAAGGAGAATGAGTTCCCCAATATTGCAAAGCTTTGTGAATTAACAATGCATACTTTGAAATAGTACTATGTGTTAGATGGTCCTTGCTTGTGTATATGTGTGTGTGAGTGTTCAGTTACCAACTTGCTTGATTGTAACTGCTGATGCACAGGTGTAAACCAGTCTTTTCACCTGGGGCTCCTCCCTGTCTAAACACAAACTCCGGTTTTAAAAATATTCCAGTGTAACCCAGATTTTGAATCAGCTGGTCACAGTTGACTTTATTGCATCCACTCATAGTCCATACAGCGTGTGTCCTAACTGTGTACTCATTCCAACTCCAGCCTTTTCTGGAGATGGACTGTGAAGAAGCTGGATGAAAATAACATTGCTGTGATGTGTTTCTGACAAAAAATAGAAAAAACTAATGAGAGTAGAGGTGAAACCGAAGGAGAAACCACAAGTACAAATGTCCACTGTCTTGTATTGCGATTGTTTCAGATGACTTACTCTTCAGCTCTGGATCGTGAGGTAAAGATATTGTCTGTGCAGAATCAGTAAAGCTTTAGTCTGTAAAGCACAACAAATGTGGTAAGGATTGATGACCCCACTCAAAAGTGATTGAGGGATAACCTCCATCAGTAGGAGGAATATTTTTGGTCGAAAGCTGTTGTATTTATTGTGTTGTGAGATGAGTGTGTGCATTGGTTATAAGGAAGCCCTGCCCTGATAACAGATGTCATTATTTGCCGGTGCTGTGTGGTTAAAGGTCAGCTAAATCAGTGATTGTTATCTGCTGATTCAGCAGCCTGGGTCAAACCAGGACACCACTGCTGTCCCTTATTCACTCACTAATGATTCACTCTGTCCTGTACGCTCTGCACCACTTTTTTTACTCTCAATTAAACGACTCCTCTCTTGGCTCCCCCATGAGGTTTTGTGTTGTCTTTGTCCTCACCACCACCCCATTTATTCCCCCATTGCATGACTCATTTTGATGTTTTTCTTGATTTCTCTATGCAGGCGTGCGATAGAGGAGCTCCTCAGAGAGACTGACCGGGCTCGGGTCAGAGCAGAGACCATGGGCCCTGCAGGATGGTGAGCACTGTGTTTGGCATGCCGGCTGTATCAGCCTGCACACATTTGTCATTTATGGACATGTACAGTGGGTACGGAAAGTATTCAGACCCCCTTAAATTTTTCACTCTTTGTTATATTGCAGCCATATGCTAAAATCATTTAAGTTCAGTTTTTTCCTCATTAATGTACACACAGCACCCCATATTGACAGAAAAACACAGAATTTTTGACATTTTTGCAGATTTATTAAAAAAGAAAAACTGAAATATCACATGGTCATAAGTATTCAGACCCTTTGCTCAGTATTTAGTAGAAGCACCCTTTTGAGCTAATACAGCCATGAGTCTTTTTGGGAATGATGCAACAAGTTCACACCTGCATTTGGGGATCCTCTGCCATTCCTCCTTGCAGATCCTCTCCAGTGCTGTCAGGTTGGATGGTAAACGTTGGTGGACAGCCATTTTCAGGTCTCTCCAGAGATGCTCAATGGG